AAAAAAGTTGGGACAGAGGCACGTTTAACACTGTCACATCAACTTTCCTTTTAATTACAATGTCTTATTGTTTGGGAATTAAGGATACTAATTGTTAAAGTTTTGCAAGCAAAATTTTTGTCCAGTCTCTCTTGAAACAAGGCTTCAGATGCTCAGCAGTCTGTGATTGTCGTTGTCTGATTCTCCTTTTCATGACTGGTCATACATTTTCAATAGGAGTCAGATCTGGACTGCAGGCACATTCACTCTGAGTCTACAAAACCACGCTGTTGTAGCACATGCAGAATAAGAGCTGACATTGTCTTGATCTAATAACCATGGACTTCCCATGAAAGACATCATCTTGACTGCAGTATATTTCTCTGTACAACTCCAATATATGCCTCCATGTCAATGGTACCTTCACACATATGCAAGTCACCCATGCCGTTTGCACTGATGCATGACTGTTTCTTATGCAATGCCATCTGAAGGCTCAAAGGTCAAGCGCATTCAACTGAGGTTTCCTGCCTTGCCCTACATGTACTGTGATTTCTCTGAATTCCCTAAATATTTTCACAATATTACGTATGGTAGTTGGTGAAAGACCTAAATTCTTTGCAATTTTGCACTGCGAAATGTCATTCTTGATTTGTTTGACACTTCTCATGAAATTTGGCACAAAGTGATGAGCCATGATCCAGCTTTGCTTGCAAAGACTAAGATGCTCCTTTTAGACCCAAACATGATACCTTGACCTATTACCAATTCACCTGCTTACCGTGAACTGTTTCAAAACAGTTTAAAGTGGATATTCTATAACCTTTTCGCTTTTATTTTGCCTCTGTCCCAACTTTTTTGGAGTGTGAAAATCAAAATTTGTTCATATTTACAAAATACATTTACTTTGGTCAGTGAAAACTTTGGAAATTTTTTCTTACGTACTTTTGTCAATTAAATAAAAGTTAAAGAGAATGAACAAATCACAGATTCTTGATTTTATTGCATTTTTACAAAACGTCCCAACTTCTCTGGAATTGGGCATGTAATTCTCTAATTTTGAGGCATTTGACCTAGCCTGCTTATATTTGCCTTACATTTGTTTGCCTTTGCAGCTGTTTGTATCGTATGACTTCATTTGAAAAACAAAGAAGCCTGGCTCTTTTGTTTTGACTAGGACACACATCCCTTATGTGTGTGCTGTTGGATTGCAGGTTGCCTGGCTACAACACATTCCAAAGTCATTCACAAGCTGGATATACCGTCCTTCGACTGGCCCATCGCACCCTTCCCTAAACTGCAGTACCCTCTGGAGGAGTTTGTGAGGGAGAACGCCCAGGAAGAGGCCCGCTGCCTGGAGGAGGTCAGAGATGTCTCCTTGATATGTTCACAAAAAACTTTCCTCCTCATACCAAGCAAAGAAATATTCCAGGTTCAGGACAGGTTAAACTCAATCAACAGCATTTTTGGTTGTATCTCCTTTTCTTAAAAAAATAAATAAATCTGCTACAGTGAGGCACTTACAATAAAAGTGAATGATGCCAATCCATAAATGATCAAATGCTCACCGTTTCAATAGTATCACCACAAGATATAAAATGACTGTATAAATGATTATTTAAACAGCTTTTACTATAGGTACTGCAACATTTACCATTGTTTGGAAAAATTTTATGCCAGATTTTCCGAGATTTTAATAGGAATGTGCATGATCAAGAATTTTGCATGAGGGCAAAAGATTAAAAAAGAGAGCGAGAGAGACAAATAGAAGTTTTTTTTTTGTGGTAATCAACATAATGCTACAAATGCAGTTGATTGAACTTAACTATTAAACCCCAGTAGTTTAATAGTTAACCACTGATGTCTTTTTGTATGTGTGTGTAGATAGATAGATAGATAGATAGATAGATAGATTAAGTACTACTAGTATTAGATTAAATTACATTTTAAAAACTCATAATCAGACTACAGTTACTTTTTTATTGATTGCAGCATTATATATTATTCACACGATGGCAATAGATGATTCTTAATTTATTGATTGTTCCTCTTTTTCATCTTTTAAATGTTCCTTTCTAAAATAGCCTATATTTAGTTTATATTCAGTAGAATTGCAGCATTATTTAAGAAAAGCAGACTAGTCGCTGTGTTTCAGTGCACCTACTGCAAAGTGTTACCTACTTCTTCACATAAAACTAAGATATTAATGTATTAATTGTGTGTGTCAGGTTGAGGATCTCATCGTGAAGTGGAGGCAGAAGGGCAAACCAGTGGCTGGCATTGTGATCGAGCCCATCCAGGCAGAGGGAGGGGACAACCACGCTTCACCTGACTTCTTCATCAAACTGAGAAATATTGCACGCAAGGTCAAAATGCTTTTTTTCAGGCTAACTGTTCTCTAACGCTTAGTTATCGTCCTTGTTTACCGGATCTGTGCTTTGAAGTCGTTTGAGAGAGACACTCCAGTTATAAATAGCTAAAATGAGGCTCTTTGAACTGTCCAATAAAAAAGGCACTCAAGACTCTGTAGGAAGTTCTTCTTATCTGCTCTAATTTGAATGAGATAAGGCAGGAGACAAAAGGGAATCATTTAATATGGCTGCTTTATGCAGAGAAAAGAAGCTCCTTAAGTAATTGTGAGGAAGTCCACGCTCTCCCTGAATAGCTCGGGAAGTGTTCACTTCAAATGGAGCGTGGCGAAACGCAGCGGCCGTGTCCGGAGGGTGTTGGATGCAGTTTTTTGCAGGCTGACAGGATGGCTTTTGACCGAGAGTGAGCTAACAGATGTTTATCTGTGTCTGGTTCTTTCAGCATGGCTGTGCTTTCCACGTGGATGAGGTGCAGACAGGTGGAGGAACAACAGGAAAGTTCTGGGCCCATGAGCATTGGGGCCTGGACGACCCTGCTGATGTTGTCTCCTTCAGCAAGAAGCTGCTGACAGGAGGATACTACCACAGGGATGAACTGCAACCAGACAAAGTAAGAGCTGTCACTGCTTCTGCATACGTTACCTCATAAAGAATCGGCAACAATAATCACTCCCAGTAATTGTCCCCAACTGCCTGCTTTATCCTTTTTGTTAATGAGTCATCGTTGATGAATAGCATTATAATGTGTTTTAGTACCAGATGATTGTTCTGTCAGTTTCACAATCATTGTTTGTCTAAATGATTGCGTGTCCTTGGATGAGGTTCATGGCTGTGTGGAATTGAGTAATCACTCCCCCTACTGTCGAAAACATGTTTCTTCCTGTAAAGTAACCTTCTATGGTTATCTCAATTCTAAACAAAAAATAGCTTGGGCTACTTTTAGTTAATTGACTAGAAAGGCTAAATTACAAATATAACAGCTGATTGTTTTAAAGACCTGTGTTGGCAATAATATATGCACACAATGTGCCTTCTTGTTGCAACTTCCCAAATGCTGTCAAATATAAAGTGATCTTTTGTATCAAATGTTGTAAAAAGAGATCTGAGTGTGATTATTTTAATAATGAAATAATTACACTCAGACCCCTCCCCCTATTAGTAGTAGTAGTAGTAGTATTCATTACTAAAATATAAGAAATTTGTATTTCTATTTTAGAATTTACTATTATTATTTTTTTGTTGGAGTAATAAAAATAATGTATTTATTAATAAATGTTCATGTTTTTGTAACAATAATAATAATTATTATTATTATTATTACAAAACAATAACAAAAATTTCATTATGTTTTGGTCTAAGGGATCTTTTTGTAATTATTTTAATAATGAAATTGGAACTGGATTATCATGAAAATGCTTGTAAGATTTCTTTCTTGTATTGACACATTACAACAAAAAATTTGAGGTGGAACGTTTGTTTTGTTTTGCTTTGCTTTGTTTTTTAAATAGACAATAGCCTTTTTGGGTCTATTTCCATTTAGAATACTTTACATTTACCAAAAAAAAAACTTTGGTATCACTGTAGTATAGGGACCAATTCTCACTATTAACTAGTTGCTTATTAGCATGCCTGTTATTAACATATTGACTGTAACTACCTCACTAGCTACTAATAAGCAGCAAATTAGGAGTTTATTGAGACAAAAGTAATAATTAATGGTTTGTTAATAGCGAGAATTGGACCTTAAAATAAAGTGTGACCATAACTTTTAATAGTGTATTTGCCTATAGATGAAAGCTAAAAGACATAAACTAAATGCCACAAAATGCAAATGTTGGTTGCATGACATCTTTAAAGAAGACACTTTAGTTACACAATAAAAAGGACCATTTAAACTGACGTGACTGTATGCACCTCAGCCCTACAGAATCTTCAACACGTGGATGGGAGACCCCTCAAAGAATCTGTTCTTATCAGAGGTGCTTAATGTGATCCGAAGAGAGAACCTTCTGGAAGAGGTGACGCGCTCAGGGAAGGCTCTTCTACAGGGCCTTTACGCACTGCAGGTACGGCCATCTCCATTTCTATCCTCACATGACTGATTCCTCACAGGTGCCACAGCTCAACGCGAGATGCTTTAAAAGCATTAATGGTTCTATTATGTGGACGTTCATTGTTCATCTGAGAACCGGCCTCATAACTTCTGCTGGGAACCTGAGCCTGTAATCGATCTTGTCAGCGTAATGAGTGTTTGTTTTGAGGCTGTGCTTGTGGATTGATGATACCTTTCACATTGTGAGCTGTACATTCATTTATTGTCTCGTGTCTTCCCCTCATGTAGACCCAGTATCCTCATATCCTGAGCAGAGCCCGCGGCCAGGGTACATTCTGTGCCATAGACGCCTGCAATGATGCCACACGCGACAGTATCATGATTAAAGCCAGGAACAAGGGTAAGCCATGGCCACTTTAGCCATCACACATGAGGTTGACAAGACAATTAAAAGAAACCCTGGCAGGACTTTTTATGGGGAATTTTTATACATTTATATTATACATATAAATGTATAAATACATTTATATGTATTTTTTTTGCATATCAGTTACAAAGGTCATTGTGTCTTTTGCAGCAGCATGTTGCATAGTTATTATCTAATATTATCTATATTTATAAATGTATAATTTTATTTAATAATAATGTACATACAATGTTATTGTTATTATAACAATTATTTTTAAGGATAATAATAATGTACATACAATGTTATTGTTATTATAACAATTATTTTTAAGGATAATAATAATGTATATAATATATATCATTATATAATGTATGTATATGATGTATCATTTTATTATTATTATTTTTATTATTATATCAATGCGTGCATTATCATCTACTAATAATAAAAAAACAATTGTTAGTATTATGAATATTAATATTATTGCAAACTGAACATTACTAATTAACTTACTAAATATAATTACTAATTAACTACGCAGTACAGTATTACTTCTACTGTGATTGTTGTGCTTACTGTTAACTATTATTATTATTATTGTTGTTAATATACTTGTATTATAATAATAATAACAATAATCATTTTTATTATTATTTTATAATTCTGATAATAATAATTATCTGATTAATAAAATGTATGATCATTAATCATAACAGTAATAATAGTATTAACTATCATTAGGGTTATTGTTGTTTTGCATCGTAATAATTATTAATACTAGACTTATAATAATAATAAACTTAAGTTACACATAAATAAGTTACATTTAGACCTGGTCTTCACCATAAGATGCAGTGGCTTTATGGGATGCTGTGTTCTCTCACCAGGTCTGTTTATGGGTTCCTGTGGCGAAAAGACCATCCGTTTCCGTCCCACTTTGGTCTTCAAGGAGTACCATGTCCATCAGCTCCTGAACATCCTGAACGACGTCCTGGCTGAGCATAAATAGAGTTCTGGCTGCCAGGTCGGCCTTGATTACGGAGCATATAGGGGTCCAAGCCCACTCAAGGGTTTATAGCAGCCTGTCACAATTAATTGGTCACTGTCTCTCTCTCTCTCTCTTTTCATTCACTCTCTTCCTGTCATTACTAATTAAGAAGGATAGAAATCTGTTTTCTATCTCTTTTTATTTAGCCGACAGATTTCAGCCCCATCACCATATTTCTCGTCTTTTACTGACAGATTGAAGATCTGAAGGAGTTTGCAGGAAATAACCCACTCAAATTATACATTTAACTAAATCCCTCCTGATGACATTTCAACTTTGTGAACGTCCTACAAGCCGTCAGCAAGTCAGTTGAATAAAGCAATATAGTGACACACAGAGACAGGACAGGATTTCTAATCACAATATTTCATATATCTCTTTATGTATCAAATAAAGTCCGTAGCATTTGGAAGGTGACATGAAAAGATTAATGATCTAATTATGTATGATACCAAAACTACAGAAAAGAAGCTATTGTCTGGTTGATTATATCATTTATGGAGATAAAATCGAACTATTTTAGTATCTATAGATAATAATATCTGCATTGAAATGTCTAAAGTGTGAAATTTTGCATGACGGAAGATTGAATTTACAGAGTACCCGTATATAACCGTCCTCTCTGAATTAAAAGCATGTGTGAAAGACAAATCGTTGAAGCAGCGTTGGCCTCGCTGCATTCTGAGGCACTAGAGCGAGCCAATGGAAAGCTGGAAAAAGTGAAAGTGCAGAGAACCGTAGAGCCTCTATTCCCATTTTAATAAGACGTCTGTTGAGATGAAAACCAATAAGCAAGTTCCTTTATTGAGGTGGCTGCTTTACTGTCATTGCTCAGTCATAAAGAACCATTGCCATTACTGAGACACGAGGCCTCTCATTTGAATCCCGGTGAGAGATATATGAGCGCAGTGTTTCCAGCACAAACATTTAAAGCACAACCTGGTGTGGTAACGTGAGGGCTGATATTTTCTACAATCTAACAGAATTAATATGGTGAATGAAAGGCCATAAATCTGTATTTTTCAAAGCCAAACATCCACCTAACAATAGTAATCTGTAAGGAAGCATGTTTGAAAAGCACAAGCTTGAGGCCACTCCTCTGCTCAGGTGAACATGATCCCCTCGTGTTTCTCATTACAGGCAAGAAAAAAAAGGTATATTGTTCTGCTGGATAACAACTACAAGGTCATCTTCACTTAATGGTTATCACAGCCTGTAAACGTTTCTGATCTTTGGGGTGATTCTCCTCTTCCAGTTGCTCCGAGCCGACAGAGTAAACGTCCCTTCTGCTTGATTAAAACAAACCTTTTTAAACACTTAAACCCCAGTATGTACTTACTGTAGTGAGATTATGCAATGCTCATTGTGTAAGTTTTGTCTGTGAACACTAAAATGTTTCCAGCCGCATCGGAATCAAGTTTCTTATTTAACTGACATTAACGCATCAAATATTAATATGTACGAAATCAAACCCTCTCTAACACGGTGTTATTCTTTCGTGATATTGTGTCCCATATGTTAGTGTAATGTAGAAATGTACTTCATGTTGTTTTGGGTGTCTTTAAACATTCCTTTTAATGTTGCGAGCAGGCAGCGTGCATAGCAGCAATCGGGAGTTGCGAAAGCTGTGTCTGTACTCGGCAAAGTCAGTATTTAATTGAGAAATGTGTATTATTTACAGACACTAACAATTAGGTCTATATAATAAATGCAGATGTTTACAGTTGTGTTGTACAAATAGAAAGAAATTGATGTGATTTCTACATGAAATCTAAATGTTGTCTGAGGAAGCTATAAAATAAATGTTAAAATAAATCTGACATTTTGATTAATCTTTTATTGTTCTTGACTGTCTTTGAACCAAAATGACCAAGAAACACACATGAGAAATTATCAAAATGATATATTTTCACAATGTATAGACCAACACTTATTAAGGCTTATTAAGATTTTGCAGTCAGTTCTTAAAAGTACTCAAATCAATCAGTGATTCACAGATGGTTAGTGTAAGATCATTCCACATTATTAACCACAAACCCAATAATAGAGAATTTTAAACAAACTCCCCTCCTGAGCCCAAAGAAAGAAAGGGGGAAAATCAGATGCAGTATTTTTATACCCCCCCCCCCCCCCAGAAAAGGAACAGAAACCCATTTTAACATCACTATCACACAGTTCAGAGTTAAGAGAGGATCTCATGTTTCAACCACCGCTCCAGACCAGGTCTCATGCTTCGTGCCTGGTGCTAAATGAGTGATGGTCACCTCCACGGCCTGGATCTTCTCATGTTTGGGTGGAATAGAGCAGATCTTGTAGCTAACTTCATCACCTTCCATAGGCACATATTCACCATCGATGCTGTGGAAAGAATGGAGATCATCAGCAAAACATTACTTGCTGGATTTAGACAAAGGTGTTTAAAACAAGTGTATCACATGGAAAACACACTGCTAATTATTGTATACAGATATTTTTGAAAGAGCAGATTGACAAGACATTTTGGTGACAAAATAAAAACGTATCCCATTTGTAAGTACTTTTTAATCTTTATTTTTTACTTGTTTCAATCTCTGAAATGATTTTCTTGATGTTGTAACCAAGGCCACGAGGGTGGAACAAAAAATGTAAAAAAAACAAAACAATTATATAAAATATTTTTAGTATTTAATAATAATTATATAAAAATAATTGATTTTATTAATATTAACTAATTATGGTTTTTAATAATATAATTAAAGCATGTGTGTGTAAATTTTTTCCTGCTGAATATTCTGTTAAACATACATTTGGAAATACATGTTATGTTTTCTTAAAAGTTACCTTATAGAATTTGATTTGATGTAGTTAAAGAACATGAATAAATCTAGAATTAAGCAAATATCCAAAAGAGTGCAAACGCTCATCTGCAGGTTTCCAACATTCTGTAAAATCCATAAAATAATTTGAAGTGCTGAATGTTTGGCAAGAGCGCAGCTGGCAAGTCTATCCATTTTTTCCACTGGTCAAACACACTTGATCTGAGAGAAGCCAGTGACTGCTCTTATCTCTCATATTCAAGTGTTTAACTGAGCCTTGACCCCAAAACCTTTCACACGCACACTCCACGAGTTTCTATTCCCAGAAGCCCCTCCTTCATGAGCAGTTCAAATCCATCTACAAATTAATAAACTTAAGTTACTGACGTGAATCTATGCACCTGTTGGAGCACTAACATTTCTGATCTCTGATTAGGCATGAATATTAATAATGATTTGTCTTTCTTTTTTCTGATGATTCTGAGTTAACTGGGTTTGTTGTGGAATGTGAGTTGGCTTGGATGTAGGAGCCTGAAATCTTGTTGAAGGTTCAAGATGTTTGCCCGGTGAACTCACTCAGATATGTGCACAAAGATGTCATTGCCTCCGTCTGATGGCGTGATGAAACCGTGTCCTTTGGAACGTGAAAAGCACTTGCAGACCCCAGTGAAGACCGGCCCCTCGGCTGCACGCGCTGCACTGGAGTGGTAGAGAGGAAAACGTATGATTCAACATTCTACATATGGATGAATTTCACAGAAACGTGCCTAGGTCACAACCTAAAAACTAATATGGAACATTTGGATAAGTAAGATGTTTTAAAATGTTTTTAAACGTGCTTTATGTTCACCAAGGCTACATTTATTTGATTAAAATACAGTAATATTGTGAACTATTATTACAATGTAAAAGAACAGTTTTTTATTTTAATATTTTTAATATAATTTATTCCTGTGATGCAAAGCTGAATTTCCAGCATCATTACTCCAGTCTTCAGTGTCACATGATCCTTCAGAAATCATTCTCGTGTGATGATTTGGTGCACAAATATTATCAGTTGCTATTTGTGCTCGATGATTAATAATGGTTCTTATTGTACTTATTCAAATGCAATTTCAATACCCCGCATATTGATAGCGGCTCCCTAATGTTGCGAAAATTATGGGGTTAAAGCAAAAAAAAAAATCTTTTGACTGAAAATTTTTTCTCAGCCAAACCCCATTCAACAGCCATACCCGTCACACCCGGAAGAAGGAAAAACTCAGTTTATAAAAATACACGTGTACGTGTGAACATGGCCTTATTTTAACTAAAAAAGACAATAGTAAATAAAGGCAGTAGCAGGTTTATTTAGGCTGCTGTCTCTTTAAGACCTCATGCACGGATCTAATATACTGTTACACTCTCAACTTTCTCTGATACACTATGCTTACTTTAGGATTTTTAGGAGCGCTTGTCCTCCTAATTAAAACAAAAATAGGAGCACCTTCTGATCAATATTCAAATTCTGATAAAAAATTTGCCTTCCAAATACAAGGTGAAATTTGACTCCTTAAAGTGACTTACAGGAGTATTTTCTTTTTACCTTTGTAATGGCATCATTTTCATCTGTCAAATTTAAAAATGTATGTTTATAAGCTTTTTAAAATTTCCATTTAAAACAATATAATAAGAAGTAGAATAAGACAAATAAGTTACCAATCATATGAAATTAGTATTAATAAAAAATTAATTTGTACTACAGAGGTCGTTTGAACAGCTAATTAATTCAGGAATGAAATCTTTATGTATGTGTAATCATGAATCACTGACTCACTAGATTCGTTCAAAAACGCACTTTCATTCATGAATGAAACTCGGCTGTGTTTGCTTTTAGAGATGCGCAGCGGCTCAGCTGTTACTATATTTGGAACTATTTTCGTTGATGAAATATATACAATAAGAATGTTTGCGGGAGCGTGACACACACGTTGCGGGAGTGGGCGGTAATGGGCAGAAATTCAGCGGGAGCGGGCTTAAGAAAACTGTCCCGCTCAGGGCTCTAGGCTGCGCACATCAACACACACGTTTTTTTTTCGCGCTCCCCCATCTCCACCCCCGATAATTAGTGCCGCTTGCTCGACAGAACATATAGGACAACTTTTAAATAGCGCCATAAACAACATTTATTTCAAATTTAATTCAAGCACTTTCAAGGACCTATGTTTGTTTTCAAGTACTTTCCAGGCCTTGAATCCATATGTCTGAAATTCAAGTACTTTCAAGAAGCGTGGGAACCCTGGTCAATGTTGAAACGTTTTTTTTTTTTTTGCTCAATATTTTTGTGGAAATAATACATTGTTTTCAGGATTCTTTGATAAATAGAAATTTCAGAGATGAATTTATTTGAAATAGAATTTTCTTGTAATATTATAAATGTTTAAAGGGGTCATATGATGCTTTTTAAAATATCATTATTTTGTGTATTTGGTGTAACAGAATATGTTGACATGCTTTAATGTTCAAAAAACACATTTTTCAAATACTGTACATTATTGTAGGTCCTCTATGCATTGCTGTTCTGTTGTAAGTGATCTTAAAGATTCCTAAATGCATCTACTTTCGGAAGGCCAAATAAAGTGCTTTTGCTTTCGCTTAGAAACACACAGCGTCTCCCTGACATGGCTGCTTCAACACTAACTGCGGTTACTGAAACCACGCCTTCTTTCTTTGCGTGCACATTTGCGGCGGGATTATGCAAATATTTCCACATAGTGGGGGTAGATATGTGGGGTGTGTTAGAACGAGCCGTTTTAGGGGGGCGTGGCAGAGTCTTAACTTTGATAAAGAATATCTCTTTGGTTTTGAGACTTTAGTCTTTGCAACTTCAGGGATCTTATCTATGCACAATCAGCTTGTAACACTCCAAAGAGAAAGGAAAACTTGAAATCGCATCATATGACCCCTTTAAGAAGATTGTAAATACAGTCTCAAATACTTGCAAAATAAAAGTATTGATTTCTATTTTTTTTCTTATCTTACTGAACCCAAACTTTTAAATGGTAGGCTACCATCGTGGTTTTCACAAAATGAAGCAGCACACCTGTTCTCATTGATAACAACAGTGTTGCCAAATAATTTTCAGGGGACGTCGCTGAGGGAAGGTCGATTTGTTGCTAAAAGTTGTTAAATGACGTTGTGATGTCATTGCACGATGACATCATTCCGTAATTACGAGGCAAAATTGTGTCACTACATCATATCTCAGCAAAAAATATATTTTATATATGATAATTTAGATTTGTTTGTAAAATAATATAACGTAATATAATATTAAAATATAAATAACTATTTTTAAATACAACATTGAATTATTGAACACTTACACGTTTTTGAACACTTACAATTTAAGTTTTATTAGCTGGTAAACTAGTAAAACTACACATTCTGCACAATTATAGTTTTAAGCAGTGTATTAGCAGTTAGTTTGTTAGTATGCTTCTGTAAAAATAGAGCACAATCTACTATGTTAATATGAAGGATTTTTCCGTATTGTTTTTTCTGGGGGGTTTTTTACCTGCATTTTAAATTACGCATTGTATTTTATGTTTTCGGGTTACAATGGATAATGAATAATGGATAACGGATAATGTCCTGGAAAATTACTAGTACCTTTTACATGTTTCTATATATTTTTCTTACAGTGTACTAACTGATCAACAATCACAGGTACAATCTACTAACTATGTGTACCATAAATGAACAATTATTCAATTAATAAATTATTCAATTATTACTATTAAATTGAACAACTGCAAATAGCAGCTAACTTAATTTGTGTGATGTGTGTACTGCTAGGCATCTTTGGTTTCCTCTTGTGTAATTTAGATGGAAAATGTGTGCCTTTTATCATTTGAGTCACTTATCAAAAGTTGCTAAAAGTAGCCAAATAAATTTAAAAAAAAAGCTAAATTTGTTGCTAGGTGCTTCTGGAAGAAAAAGTTACTAGGGTAGTGTGAAAAGTTGCTAAATTTAGCAACAAAATTGCTAAGTTGGCAACACCGGATAAAAAAAAAATTCTTCAGCAGCAAATCAGCATATTAGAATGATTTCTGAAGGATCATGTGACACTGAAGACTGGAGTAATGATGCTGGAAATTCAGCTTTGATTTCACTCGAAAAAATTTGATTTTAAAATGTATTAAAACCGAAAACAGTTATTTTACACTGTAATAATATATTTACAAAATTACTGTTTCGACCATATATACACAAACGCATGAAGATATGAAATGGACAGGGGACACCGGTAGGTGGTTGTGGCTGTACTCACGCTGAGCAGGTGCGGTTGCGGCGGGTGGGCAGGGGGCTGGGAATCAGGTAGCCCCTCATGGGGGAGGGTGATCGGTCTCTTTGGCGGCAGGCAGGCAGACGCAGAGAGCTGGGTGAAACTGGAGAGACAGGAGACAGTGGGGACAGAGGAGGGGTGGTGGACTTCACAGGAGATGATGCGTCTGAGGACATGCTGACGGTGGGACACTCAAAGGATACTGGGAAGACAGAAGCGGTGAGGAGCTTGAGCTTTTAGGACTGAAATAGGTTCTCCATCAGGATTTCCTTAAAATACAAACCATGGCATTTGTCTGGATGTGTACATGAACCCGAAAACAGAAACTTTGCAGAGTGACAAACATCACTGCAAAATGGATTGTAGACCAGTGATGTGTCAATAAACCAGCAGTAATACTGTAATATTTAAAAATATATATATATATATATTGACATCATGTTAATACTACACATACAGTAGTATTGTAAATAATCCATTGGCAATAACAATCTGGCTGATGCTCCAGCATAATAGGTGTTAGTTCTACATCTTAAAGCTGATTGCCACCCATCATAAAACAGAAAAAAGACAACGACAATGCAGTGTGTAGCTTCTACTGCTGCACAAAATCATGTCAGAGGAGATGACGGGCAAAAACAAGACACTCTACCCACATTTAAAAATAGAAAGGAGCTTGCCAGTGTGGGGATTTTTTTTAGATTTTGTAAAAAAAAAAATTTAAAAAAAAGAATCTACAGAAAGTGTCAACAGGTTATTTTTGTACGGTTATGGTCACAAACTCTGTCTCTGGCTACTATTACTATTACAAATCACAATTTTCTCCAGTGAAAAAAACAATCACTGAGAAGCACTCATAATAAAGATACCTGATATTCATCCTTTTGAGACTGTTTCACTGCTGTGAAACAACAACAACAACATAATAATAATAATAACAACAATAATAATAAAGCAATTCCTCTCAGGTAACTCAATATCTCTAGTGTACACAGCAGTGGATGCAACAGCCTGAGGGAGCCACTTGATAAACTCAATAAGCAATTAATTACTTTACTACTGAAACATGAGACATAAAGCCTATTATTTCTTCTCCTGCATCTAAATATACAACTACAACATTCCGTATCCAAGCTCTCTCTTGCATATTCCTTTCAAATACAACTATTATAGATGTTAATTATTCATACACAATTTTTATCAAACCGCATGTCAACTGTGCCCCTTGACATTGTCTTTCAGCATCCCTGAAAACCACCAGCACAAGCCTCCAGCGGCTGCAGGCTGCAGCTCCCATTTGCGACAGGCAGTAATGTGATTGTTCACTGTTGATGCTGCAGGCCATGTTTAGCCTTTGTTAGCCCTATCTGACCGATCCACCCTGTCCGGGAAGATATTACAAACTTGCTCTGCCGGCAGAGCATTTGGTTAGGCCACTAGAGGTTCAATCCTTCTTGTCGAGCAGGACTTGGTTGTGGAATCTGTTAACTGATGCACTGGGCACTGGACCGCTGCATGTTAACATGAACGGGCCAGGAAGGGTCAAGCATCCCTAGTAATCACAGCAGGAAAGAGCACCAAATGCATAAATCGCACACCCTCCCCCATTGTCATTACTCTCCTCTGGGCCATTACAGCCCACACAAATCATAACAAGAGCGGGATGACCATGAAAGATGTTCCTTATGTGCAATAAAGCATATTAAATAATAATTTGATTATTTCAAATCGCACCCAAGAAGTGGCAAAGCGGCTTTCCAGACACTCCCGGGTGGCTCTGCTATGGCAACACAGTACCAACGGCTCCCTCGAGAGATGCAAGATGAGAAAGGGCCACTTTGTACCTTCAGATGGATTACATCACTGCAATTATAGCTTTCTGCAGTCAGGCTCAGCATGCCCCATAAACAGAAAACGAGGCCAGTGAGTGTTTGAAGGCCAGGGCCAATTATACAGTGCTGATTGTGTGCTGGGGTACTGATGCATGGGTGAACATTCGCTTCTGCTCTCATTCGTTCTACATACACATCAGCAGAAAAGGACACAGGCGGTTCATCCCATCAGGAGGAAGAAACTTCCATCATATACAAAAAAGTACCATGGTTTTGGCATTTTTAATATAATGTAAATACCACAATATATGAATTTGGCAATCAACATATTTTGACAGTACATATTACAACACCATGGTATTACTGTCACTGTGCCATGATATTACCACAGTAATGTTGTAAGGAATTCTGTTCATATAAAGCAGACTCTTCAGCAGTCATTTTCAACCTTTGCCACTCCACATGGAGTTTCCTATTACCAAAGACAATATTTGAGGACCCCCTAGCAAGGGTGTGATATTTCCCCCTTGCACCCTGCTAAAATTAAAACAAAGATACTAGGGAGAATCTAAGGATGTTATTACAATTCAAATAATTTCAATCTCTAGAATGTTTTTGTAACCAACACATTAAATGAGATATTGAGGGGATTATTACTCCACAATAAAAAAAAACTGCATGTTAAGTTCTTCATTTCGGAGTAATGTCATAGGATCTTTACCTTTTATTATTATTGTTTAGTATTACTTTTTTAAAAATAATTTAAAATAAGCAGTAGGCTATTGTGTATACCTTGATTTTTAGCTTTTCTGTATTATTTTTGAATCATTAAAAGGCAGGGCATAGGTGATTTGGTTCAAAAACATTTTTGTTATGCTGGTTGAAAGTCTCTTCACATCCCGATAGTAATCACTAAGTTAAATGGTCTAGATGTATTTATTAGGGATGTGCAACAGCGATCGAGTACTCTGCCTTGACAGCGACAATCGATCATGAAAACGATAATCGTGTAATTTTTGTTTTTTTTCTGATTAGTTATAGCAGCATTTTGGGCGGTGCTCTGATTGTTTAGCTGGCCACAGCATGCGGTCCAAAGTATAAACGTGAGAAGAGAGAGAAGCATGGCTTCGAAGTAGGGATGTAACGGTATGAAAATTTCATATCACGATTATAGTGACCAAAGTTATCACGGTTATCAATATTATCACGGTTTTATTCAAATTAGATGAAAACGTTCAAAAAGAACTGATACACATACTGAAAACATTTCAATAAGTTTTATATTTGAAAATCAACAAACAACAAATACAATTAGCAGCTATATGCACTTTTTTTTAGCATAAACATTAAATTAACATTAACATGAAGCCCTAATAATAATAATAATAATAATAAATCACTCTGGCTGGACAGGATTTACCGCGAGTTTTCAAAAGCGCGATAATCAAACACGGTTTTGATGATAATTAAATTTTAAACGGTAATACTAACCGTCAGGGCATTTTATCGTGATTTATCGTGAAACCGGTAATCGTTCCATCCCTACTTCGAAGTCACGTAGTAATGTCTGGGTTAGCTACATACATATCTGATTAATCTAACATAGGGTGTGTTGGGATATTAACATTTATTAACATGCTGAATGCACTGCATATTATCAGTGTTTAGATTCATGCTCAAATGCAATGCCCGATAATATTGACTGAGTTATTTGAGACGGCCATATTGCTTTTAGATGTTTCTTTTTTTTTTTTTAATACTGATGTTATAATTATGCAGCAGTGCTTCTTTCATCATATTTGTTCAACAGTAGGCATACTTCAATTACATTTTTTTCGTACTTCGTATGGCTTTGAAAATGCGCAGACGATTTCAGGAATCACTTGATAATGTATAAACATTGCATTATAATGAGAACTTTATAGAATGTGAAATCTATAGTAAATTCTGCCTGCTTTCCTTGCCCGTGTTTCAGCACAATGTTATGAATGCGCACCACGGCTCTCTCTCTCTCTCTCTCTCCGTCTCTGTCTCTGTCGCTATAGCGCGTAACAAAGTTCACTGGCATTTGCATCCTTTTGTGCAGATACAAGTTGTAATGTTACTTTATGAATCTAAGTTAGGCCTATCTGATTAATATCATAGGATGCATCAAAGAATGGGCCTCAGTCTTCAGCTTCACCCCAGGCAGCTATTCCTTTTTAGATGCCTCTTTTTTTAATAACATTGCTGCATCATAATCATAATCTAACAGTGTTCTAATCATGTGTTCATGTTTTCATAGACAGGTTTTCATGTCATATTTATATTTTTAACATTCATTTTCATAACAGTCTTCAGATATTTTCATTATATCCATTACGACCATGCCCCACCCCCAAGTACCCAGCAAACACAGAACGTTCCCCTAACGTATTTTTTTGGGGACCAAATACTAACGTTAGGGGAACGTTCTTTTTAGGTTATATTTTTTGTAACAATAAAATAACGTTCCCAGAACGTTGCATGGTGGTTATTTTTAAATAACCTAAAAATAACTTATAGAGAATGTTCCCTAATGGTTATTTTTAGTTTTTTTTTTTTTTGCAACCATAAAATAACGTTCCCAGAACGTTGCAGGGTGGTTATTTTTAAATAACCTAAAAATAACTTATACAGAACGTTCCCTTATGGTTATTCTCAGTTTATTTTTATAACCCTGTAAAACTATCTTTCCAATGAAAACGTCACAGATGTTAATGTGTAATGACTATACAGAGCCCTGAAATTCGTTTAATGCAGCATTTCTTAAAATACAGGAATTTGATCAATTAAAACGCGATTTAAATTATAATATTAAGCCAGGGTTAAGCGTAGAGTGACAACAGAAATCATAAATTCGTGGGTTTGTGTCATCTTTAATGCGCGCTCGCAGAATTGAAAAATTAACATCATTTTTCGTTTTACTGGCTGACTGACTCGCTCGTTTATCCATCTATTTATTGGATTATTACTTTTAAATTAATATATTTATGTGTATTTATATGTATGAGTAAATATGATTTTGGAGGGATTTAAAATGCCTAACTGAAGAGAACATAATGTTAAGCGAGAGGTTTTTGTTTACGGATCAAAAGAGAAAACACATGATAATGATAAGATGTAGCCTTATGAAAAAAACGAACTAAATCCAAAATAATAAACAGGATAGCATGAAAGACAACCTTGGGTTATGTGTCCATCTAAATATTTGAAACTTAAAACAGTTGAATGACATGTAATGTGAATTCCATATCCATAAAAAAAATTGGATATTTTGAAGATGTTTCTGAAAAGCTGTTTACTTGATATTGAAATTGATATTGCATTTTGCAGTGTCTTAACATCAGAT